TACAGTTGCCATCTTTAAAATAAGGTCATTGAGCATTACGTCACTTGACCCCTCGTCGTCTCAACGGCTGTTCCATGTCAAGACATGTAATAAACGGACTGAGCGATAAGATACTACATGTACCAATGGACTCTTCCAAAACTTTGGCAGCAGTTTAGATGTCTTGACATGGAACAGCCGTTTGGAAATGCGCCCCTGAAAACAGCGACCATGGTGACGTACGCACACACCAGTCAGTCCGAGGATCGGGTTACACAACCTTTTCTTTGATCAGACTGTACACGTGCGCTCGTTGCAGTTGTTTTCTGAAGTTGACTTAAGCATGACTCGGCAAATTGTTGAGTTCAAATTGTCAAGTTGTCCAAAGTTGAGTTGGTAAACAGTCAAGTTGTTCAACATCTAAATTTCCTCAGCTATTGTGTCTGTGAGTGTGACAGTCATGGCAGTGTGACGAGACATGATGTAAACTCCAGGCCCAGGTTTTTCTGTTTATTTTATTTTTGTCTTATTTTTCAAAAATGTATTTGATTTGGGGAAAACCTGTAGCCTAAGTGTTTAAACTGTTCTCGCAGGCATACTTTTTAAAAATGTAAGCTCATTTTTTTGGGGCAAAAATTTGGGGTGCAAGTTTTGTGTAAGCTGACTAAACTATTTGAAATATGGATTCGCGCTGGGGAGAGGTAAATTAATTTTGGATTTTCGCCCTGCCCGACGTGAGTACGCTTGTGGTTTAGTGTTAAAATACACATCGGGCAGAGCAAAAATCCAAAGTTAATATCCAAATGATATCAGCCTTATCGCCAACACGGCCCAGTTTTCTCCACAAACAGATTTGGCAGGGCGGGCCCTTCTGCCAAAATTTCAGGCCGCCCCACCAATTTCTGCCGCCCTGCCAAAAGTCTTACCATTCTGCCTAATTTTTGAAATGAAAAAACAAATAGAAATGGCCAAGATCCAATGGCCAGGACAATCTCCGCCATCACATGCTGCCTGCTCGGTGCCCCGAATCAGCCTTTGTGACCGCCCGTCTCGCAGACCATATACATACAGCGCGCAACGCTGCATGCATTACCGCTGCGCTGTCTGCATGTCTTGTATCGATACATGTACCTGCACTATCGTCGTGATGATTTCGGCTTGGCTCGGTCGGAACAACTCGGACCGAGTTTCATGTGGTGTCATTAATCGAACAACTGCACAGATGTCACCGTCGGGAAAGAAACAAGCACTTTGGGCAATCTTCAACTGAAGTTGCCTAAACTTTGGAACATGCATGCGTAAGTATGGCGATCAAAAACATGGCGATCGAAAAGACTTTTGAACATGTCCAAACAGCAGCTTCTTCGTCTCTAGATCACTGATTAATAAGTTTGGAATACACAGAAACTACCAATGGGCCAATAATAGCAATAACGGGCCTAGAATGTTACTATTTGTCGGCTATTCTTCCAGCTGCATTCTTGTTGTAGGGCATGTTTTGTAGTATCACTATTTGGATGTACTCAACGGTTACTATGCAGTGGTACAGGTGTATGTAAGTCATTTGGTGCTTTGTAAACACGGACACGCGTACACATGCGGCGCTGCAGCAACACATTATGACAAGCAAAGTCACATGGTGGACTTCGGCATTGTAGTGATTGTGCAAGGTCATGCAAGAATACCCCTTACAAAGTTTTAACAGAAAAGATCATTGTGATCTCATCTGAGGAAACCGAATTTATTATTTTTCCCCGAGGGAAGTTCACCGTGCAATCTTCATGCCTGTCTAATTACGTCATAGTGCATCCGATGATGTCATCACGATCTCGATGACATCATGCCGCCCTGCCAAAAAATGTGTCCATGGAGAACACTGCTGCCTCTTTTCCACTCCTACACTGCCTTTCTAACACTGTGCAAAATCCCTTGTGCGGTATTAGCGATAAGGCTTCTGGCTATCCTGTGTAGCTAATGAACTAAAGATAATCAACTCTGATCAACTCATTGTTTTATCAAGTAGCATTTAGCAGTGATCATGGGCTAATGCCTCTTTTTTTTCTCCCTCTAACAATTTCAGTTCTGTTCCCCTTGCAATTATGGAGGCCTAAAAGCAATGGCAGCCCCCGGCCAGCCTACTGGGCTGCCTTAGGGCTGTCAAGGGGGAACCATTCCAGGCTAGCTAGTGGAGCTTCTGCATTTCCTGAGCTTCGGATCAACCCGACCTAGATTGTCACATCAGCAAATCCCACTTGCCCTACTTGGAAAGTTTAAGGCTGCCAGTTTTTGGTGCCGCGAACTTACAGTTTGACGTGCTTGGGCATTACGCGTTAGTAGAACTGACTCAATGAATCCGATGTTGGAAGCTGACTGCACTTTGCGGTGCCGTTCATCCCGTTGCGCTTCTAACCTCATCTCGGTCATTACTCGCGGCACCCCGCACCAGATCAAGACCTACCTCGGCGGTGCTTGTCAGAATGCCGGCCATGTGGCTGACGCGTGTGGGCGCACGACTCTGCACATGGCAGCATCCCTTGGCAAATTTGAGATTATCGATTGGCTTGTTAAGGAGAAGCACGCCAGTCTTGGAGCTGAGGACCTTGAATCTGGTTGGACAGCTCTGCACAGGAGTATTTTCCACGGCCAGGTGATTGCTGCTGTGTACCTGATCAGTGTAAGTTGACCTGTTACCGTAAGTTACAGTACCAAGGATTTTCCAAAGAATCCATTAAAAGGTCTCATTCCAGTATACAGATCGCTATCATGGGTAGCCATCTTCCTTTTGTACCATTCAAAGCAATGTTTAACCAAACTGAGGCTGGAAGGAAACGTAGTCTGTTCCCTTTTTCTAATTTGTGGAGTTGTATTGCTATTGCTGATGGACCTACAGGGAACGAGACAAACAGAACATGTAGTTTCATGAAAAAGGTCTATAGCAAGGTGTGACAGCCTTTGAGCTGAGAATCAAGTCAAGTTTCTGAAGGCCACCTGCCAGAAAGTTGTGGATCAGAAATTGGATATTGAAGTAGCTGTTTGCAGTACACCTACATATACTTCTTGAAAGAGACTATTCATCATCATAATTGTGTGTGCCTTGGAAAAGATTGACCCAGTGAGATTTTCAAATTCGAATTTAAAATATCTGAAGCTACTTAAAAGGTGCAGAGCAGACTATTTTCTTGCCCAAAAGAAAATGTATTCCACAACTGTGCCACATCGTGGAATGAAAGGCAAGCAGTTCTTAGAAGATTGATTAAATTGTAGTACTTTGATTTGACTTGTACCATTCCATTTCACAAAAAATGTAAACATCTTTTCAGGTTTGTTTGAAGTAAGGTTATTTGGTATTCAGCCAAACGACCATTTTGTGTTGACGACATTGTGATACTTACCATTGAGCCTCTTTGTCATATTGTGTAGCATGGAGCAAGCACAGATAAGCATGACAACGAGGACCTGACTCCCTTGGAGATTGCCATGAAAGACCACCCAGGCTATGCCGAGTATGACCCCCGGGGCCCCAGCCAAGTGTACTCGTGGGGCAGCAATGCCAACTTCACCCTGGGCCACGGCGGGGGGAAGAGCCGCAGTCAGCCGGACGTGGTGGACAGGTTTGCCCGAGATGGGCTGAGCATCAAGCAGGTTTGTGGGCTGTGTGCGTGTTTTTTTCCTTTGAGGAGCAAATTAATTAGCAAAGAAGTGTTTCCTTATGTTAGAATCTTACCTCTTAGCAGTCAACACTTGCGTTGTAAAACCTGTCTCATATATTCCACAAATCAGTATCATGCTTTCACCCTCCAGGTTGTAATGTGCAAGTTCCACACGGTCTTCCTGACCCACCAGGGGGCGGTGTACACCTGTGGGCATGGCCAAGGGGGGCGGCTGGGCCATGGCAATGAGGAGGTGTGTCTCAGGCCACACCCGGTAACGACGCTCACCGGGAAGGTGTGCGAGTTTGTGGCTGCTGCCAGGGACCACACACTATTTCTCATGGAAGAGTGAGTGATATGTATCTCATCTGGTTTCCATTTGAATGTACCTTTTCCAAGATTGACCCTTATTTCAGAGGATTTTTCTAGGATTCTTCCCAAGCAGTTATCGTCTGTGCAGGAATTTAATGTCACATTCTTTGTACTTCAAATTTCAAGGGACATCAAGCTCAATGTAAAGTAACAGTGGCTAGACTCTGCCTTCCTCGGTCCCACACAATCCATTGAAACCATTTGGTGGATTTTGAAGGATCTGGGAGGTTTAGTGTTGAAATTATTAATTTGGGCTATCATCTCCACCATGGATGCCAATTGGAACCCCATAAGATCATCACAAGACCATCACAAGACCACCACAAGACCTGAATGCAAGTCATAAGCTCTTCACATGAAAAGCAACAAAAATAAACTTGTTAGTTATGACTGATCTTATGACTGGTCGTGTAACTGGTCGTGTGACTGGTCTTGTGTCTGGTCTTATATCTGTTCTTTATCATGGTCTTGACTAGACACTGTAACCAGCTTCTAGAATGGGAGGGGTTAAGACACAGAAATGTGGAGGACAAAGCAGAACAAGAGCTTTCTGATATATTACAACATTGCCAATATCAAACAGTTTGGGTCCAAAAAGATGGAGAAATCTACCATTAGCACTCTTAGAGTCAAAGAGCATTGTGTTTAGAAAAAGAAAAATGATTTTACTCATATTTTGTGGGAGCAGGTCACTTTTTTTTTACCATCATTGCATTTACCACCAAACATTTATCACCTCAATCAGATCTGCCTGGAGCTTCTTCCAAAGCTATATATCCAGTCTATGCTTCAATTTTCCCCTCCCAGGGGCACCGTTTTTCTTTACTGTCAGCGCTGTCTCCATCATCAGTGCTATATTCCCACCAAATTGTTAGCATCATTGTAATCACTGACTTACCTGTCCTTGAGCTTTCTTTGAAGCTATCTCTCCAGCAGAATTGCTAAAGACCAATAGTCTAAGCTTCCATTTTCCCCCCTTGCAGCGGCACCGTTTTCTCATGCGGTCAGAACAGCCAGCACCAGCTGGGCCACTCCTCACTGGGCGTCAAGGCCCTGACCCCTAAACTCATCTTCAGCAAGCAGATCAAGCACAAGACGATGCTGGGCATAGCCGCAGGCCGTTTCCACTCGGTCATGCACACCAAGGAGGCCGTCTATACCTTCGGATTGAACGCTGGACAGCTAGGTGAGATATGGGGCCTGTTTGTTTCGCACGGATCTGGATCATGATCAGTGATCTGAAAGCTGGGTTGCACTGTCCATTAGATGGATTTTGGTATCAGTGAACCAACCTCAAATCACTGATCTTGATCCGGATCCACATGAAACAAGCAGGTGCCTAGTGTTTGCCCCAAGTCGCTAGTGCTTGATAAAAAACCTCAGTAGAAATTCCGAAAGGATTTCATTTATGGGACTTTTATTTACATTTCCTTCGGACAGATTTTCCGACCACATATGGTCTTGGTTGGACAAATACCAAAAGTGGTCAGAAATTGTCCTCCGTTCCATTAGAGTTTTTGTTCTGTATCCGTATACTTGTTTTTTTTCAGTATTTATTACTTTACCATGTCAACTGGCACTCTGATTTTCATTTTCGAAACCAAATTTCCACTTACAGAAGGTTGGCTTACTTGTGTTGTCAACCGTTGAGTTACATTCACATCTCTTGTTTTCAATGTCTGTCAGGTCATGCCAAAGGAGAGAAGTACGTCGTCTCACCGTGTCACGTGACCACCTTACATCACGACAAGGTGGAGCTGACCCACGTCACCACCAGCGACGCTGCCACGGTGTGCGCAACCAAAGCGGGAGATATCTACGTGCTGAACGAGTATCAGTGTCGTAAAGTTGCCTCCAAGTAAGGAGCCTGCTCTGTCTGGCCTTAATTTTGTTAAGTCAGTGCATGTGAATGTAGAGGTACTCTGAGTATTGAGATATAATTATTGTTACCTTTTGATCCTTAAGAATTATTTACCATTTCTTCGCCATATCCTCTGAAAGTATTCCGTATTTGATGTTAAACTATTCTTCAAGCTTAATAATGCCCCAACAGTCCCAAATCCTCTGATTTCAATATGATTTTTACATACACGCTAGTGGGTTAGGGTCAATATAAAAAGTTTTTTCCATAGACGTAAGGTATTGAGATATTTTTCATTTTTATTTCCCCACAACCAATATGCAATACACAAGTGTTGTTAACCATTCTATTTGCATCAGTTCTGCTGAAAAATGGAATATTTCCAAAGATATAAGTTGCCAGCTA